CAGTAGAACCTAGACACATCTTTGCAGATTTGGCAATCTTACTCTACACTCTGCTCCTAACAAATATGCTACAGAAGTAACACCAACCAAAAAACCAATCTAAACACAAAAGTAAAAACCAACCTAAAAGTCTGGTTCTCAACGGGAACAATAGCACTGGCATTTTTTGGGCTGAGCAACACAGCAGATCTACACACCTGAGCCAGCATGCCAAATGACATTCAAATATCCTGACATTCATGTACATTTTTAAAAACCTTTTATAATGTTGACATTTTAAGTCTAACTGTATTATCTAACATTACCTAACACCAAGCAATCTTTTGCAAAAACTTAGTATCCTCTGAATTTTTCCAGAAATACATGAAAATTGAGAAGATACTTTGTCCAGAACTTTACTTAATATTGTTCAACATTTCAAAGTAATGTAATAGCTTTTATTTTAGAGTAACATAATGGTTTCAATTTAAGTTATACTCACACTGTGATACAGTTGTACATTCAATTATTACACTTGGGCTAAAAACTACTAAACTACTAAAAACTACTTCCTTTTAATTTCCCCTCACTTATCCTATTATCATCTCTGTTATTCTCTAGTTAGGAAATTTATTTTTTTTAAGTGGATAAGCAAGTTAAATTATCCATGAATTGCACTTCAGGATAAGCATGTACAATGATTCATTTGGGGCGGGGGGGTGAGGGGGAGGGAGGGAAGTGTGCTTTGACAGATTTAAGAACCACAGATTTAAGGATTTATGCCCCACCACCACCCCTAGATCAGAGGCCCTTATTTGAGGAACACAAGGACACTCAGCCTAAGGAATCCATGGAGTAGCTTCAGAGCAACAGAATTCCCCAAAAGTACATACAATTTGATATACATAGCCACCTGGGGAGATAACACATAACTTTATTCCACACAAACACTATTAGATTAAGAACCATTACATGACGTTGAGACTGCATATATTGGGCTGGATTATAAACTTGGATCTGAGTGGTGGGGCGCCAAACCCAATTACATTTACAGAACTGTAATTTGCATCATTTCATCAGTGTACAATGACAACTTTAGCTTGACTAAGTTTACACATCCAATAGATGGCAGAATTAGCATTTGAACTCAGCTTGTCTCCAAGAGCATGTGTGTGCTTTTCTGAAGCAGATGGCTATTGTTTTTTCCCTTTAATCTTACTGTGGACTATCTACTGGATTGTGTCTTCTTTTGGCCTTTAGATAATTTGTACCAAAAATTATGTCCCCCATACGGTAGTTGCCCAAGCATGATTGGCAATTTGGTCACTAGAATGAGCTTTATGGAATGCACTCTGCATACTACCTTACTTTTGGCTTAATCTTTTCTCACATTCCCCCCCTTCCTTCATATTTTTACTTTCTGTAATAAAGCAAGGAACAAATACATACCACATGCTAATTAGGTAACACAGGAAATATATTAGTAAGACGGTCCTACAGAATGAGAACAAGCTTTGTTGGATAATTCAGAAATCACTTTGCAATCATTTTTATAATTCAAAACACTGTCACTTACTTTGATAACAAATACATAAGATTCAGTATATCCCAGTTTGAGAGAACCCTGGTTATCTTGGCTGCTTTCTAAAGAGCAATAAAAGGTAACTCGCAGATAAACAATAACCATTTGAAGACTTGGGCAAAAACTAGGGAGGTCAGTTGGGATGTCTTTCGGCATAAGAACCCAGACAGTGACAGGGACAATCAGAAGCAACTGCAGTGGACTCAGAGACACTGCCTATGTGGATGGTGAGAGCAAGTAACAACAATGCAAATCACTTAGTCAACTGTAGCCACCAGGTGGAAATGGGTTTTTTGCTGGAAGTGAAAAGGAAATGGAAAAGGGCTAAGATCCTTGGTTTTTGTCAATACCATCACCACAAAACACGGAGTAAGGGTAAGCAAACTTTTTCTATAAAAGACCAGGTAATAAATAGCTTAGGCTTTGCAGGCCAGACAATCTGTTACAATTAGCCAACTCTGCTATTGCAGCATAAGAACAGCCATACACATATGTAAACAAATGGGTGAGGATATATATATATATATATTCATCTCCATCAGATGATGTTTTTATTGATTTTAGGGAGAGAGAGAAACATCGATGTGAGAACCAACGTGACAGAGAAAAATCAATCAGTTGCCTCTCATATGCACCCCAACTGGGGACTGAACCCGCAACCTGGGTATGCGCTGACTGGAAATCGAACCTGGAACCTTTTGGTGCACAGGATGACATTCCAACCGAGTCACACTGGCCAAAGCATGAGGCCATATTTTAATTAAACTTTACTTATAAAATCATCACAATGCAGGACAAATAAAGCCTACAAGCTAGTTTGCTGACCCCTGATATAGAGGTCCAATAGGCAGGGGAAAACATGGATCTGAAGCACAAGAGGAAGGTCAAAGCTAAGGGCAGAGATTTAAAATCACTGTCACAAAGTGACAGGATAACCTAAAAATAGTAGAGATGAGAGACTGAATCATCATCCATTTTATAATTGTGTTCTTCAGTACTAATTTGCAAGTTTTGCAACTCTGGTCCTTGCGGTATTTTTTAATTGGGTTTTAGTTGCTTTTAAAGACAGACATAAATAGCAGCACAAAAATGCATGAGGTAAGTAAGTAGTTGTTTCCTGAAAGGAGAAAAAGTATGAAATAAGGACTTACGATTCCCTTAAATATCATTCTGACCCAATTATAAATCCTTTATACTTTAAATATTGCAGGCCACTGCAATATTTAAAGCCCCAAATGTGTATGTAATAGGTTAGCACTCCGATGTAACAAGACAAGGCAAAGCACGGGCAAGCTGGGACTAACTTTATGCTGCACCTACAGAGTACCCTATACCAAAACAAAATGGCAGACAATTTACTGAAATTGAGCCCAAAGGCTGAAGACAAAACTAAAGCAAAATAATAATAGCTTTAAAAACAAAGCTAAACTGGTTACAATATAAATATAGGCTTGGGAAGTGTACTCACTTCAAAAATTGTGAAGTTAAATTCATTACAAGGCTTAAAAACAAGCTAGCTCCACTAACATTGTACTTGATTCAAGCTTTTCAATGTTTAAAAACTTAAAATAGAAGTAATTACTAACTTATTCTTATCTTTAGGAAAAGCACAATTTAGCAAATAAACTGTATTACTCATATTTACAACAATGTTGGCTCATTAAAAGGAAAAAAAGCAACTAAAACCCAATTAAAAACATCACAAGGACCAAAACTGCAAAACTTGCAAATTAGTACTGAAGAACACAATTATAAAATGGATGATGTTTCATGTTATGTGAATTAAAATGATCTGGATATGGAAGGGGTAGAAAATAAGTGCCACTTAGTACTGCTAGAGAAAAACTTTTCTTTATACATAGCAAAAAAGGACTGCACGAAGACAGGACTACAACTTATGCTGGGGGACTGTAAAAACAAAATGACAAGGAAGGAAGGGAGGCAGGCAGGGAGGGGGGCAAGGAGGGAGGCAGGGAGGAAGACAGTCATCCAACAAGGCATACATTCATATAATAAATCACTAGACAATTAAAAACAATGTTCTACATGTGCTACAATGTGACGTGTAAAAATGTCCAAGATTATTAAATGAGAAAACAGTGCTAGCAAAACTGTGCCCAAAGAAAAAATTACACACATGTACACACATATATCTGGGTGAATCACAAAAATGTACAAACATTTACAAGAAATCTGAGTGGTACCTTGAAAACTAGTAGGATTGAAGGAGACAGGAAATTTTCACCTACTTTTCTATAGTGAAAATAAGCACAGATTATGTTTAGTCAAACATTAAAGAAAAAAACAGTATTTTGGGAAGATGGCTAGAGAAAGGATTGCTATCTATAAAACCACACCAATGCAGATACAAACCCATTTAAAATGTTTCATCATGCTCAAAGAGTATGTTAAATGAAATGGTGATATTTTTAATAAGTGCAACCACATAACCAAAAAAGAGCCATATAACTTTACTTGGAAAACCATATGGAGTTCAGTAATATAAAGTTGAAATTAAGTCTCACAAAAGCTATAATTTGCATGTGAGTCTTTGGCTGAATCCTCCCATAATGTGACTATCTGTTTAGACTCAATGCCAGAGCTGGGTCTTCAGAGCCAACAAACTCATTTTATATTTACCTTTGTAATCTGCAGTAATACAAACCCTAAAACTTCTATTACAAAACTATTTGTAGAACCTTATAAAGAGATTTATTTATTTTGAATATATGTCTCCTTTAAAAGCTTAGAGCAGAGACCAGTCCATTTTGTTTTCTGCTCAGCACCTAGAGCACAGTAAATAGAGGTACTCAATACAATTTTTTGGAGGAAAAGTAGGAACATAAAGTGCATGTGAATGCAAAACTATGAGGAATTATAAATTCTAAAGTAAAAGAGGCAAAATTAAGATGTGAAAATTGATTCCTCTGGATTGGAAAAAAAGTCATGTGACTGCATGCCCACAATTTCATTTTTACTTCCAGCAATGGAAGGAACAGTTACAGAATATTAACGTCTAAAACTACTATGGTACTAGGAAAGCAGCCTAACATCTACTTTGCAATTCACAGTAAGCAGGATACCACAGACTATTATTGAAAAATGCTACAGATTAGGACTAAAGTTTTGACACCAAGTCCATTAGTTGAGAGGAAATGAGGAATGGAGAGACAACACAGTTGCCTTCGGGATTAATGGCCAAATGAGCTGGCTTTGACTACTGAGGAAACCAACCTAAGAGTAGTATTTCTCAAATTACATTGTCAAAAGCATACTTCTGTAAAATATTTTTTAAAAATTACTAGAAAAATGATCAATACTTCAATATCACAGCAATATCGAATTATCGTATGTTTCTAGACACTTTCATTTTCTGTATTCAGCGTCACTAGATAGTACTGACCTAGTTTTGTTTTTTTAATGTCAATCTGACCTAAAATCATGCATTTGTAGTCTGAATCTGGAAAAATTCAGTTTTTTTCTTCCCCTACACAAAAATGAAGACAATCCAGACAATTAGACATTAGCAGACTTGTCATTAACTTGTTTTAATTTTGAAACATAAAACGTAAGTGTTTTAAGTAAATTAAAATTATTCTTTTAAAATGTAAACGTTAGCATTTAAGAATCCCAACTGCTATCAACCTGAAAATTTTGCTTTATTTTGTCATTTATCTTAGGACACAAAAACTGTATGAAAATATTCACTTAACCTACAAACCCCTTCACCTGTCTCCATTTCTCAAAATTTCCCCAAGTGATTAGTTGATTGCTAACAGAGTTAGCCAGGGAGATTAAATCCATTGTAAATTTAATTACCAAAGGAAGATGAAATGTTCATACATCTGGCCTACAAACTGACTATAATCGGGTACAATTTACTATAGCCTATCAGATAGGATCTACACTATTGAGAGTATAATGTAATTTACAGGGTCTCTGGAACCAAATTTCCAGACTCAAACCCACACTTTGCAATTTACAAGCTATAGAGTAACTTAAATCCCATATTCATCTGTTTCATCTGCAAAATGGGGATAACAGCAGCTAATTATTAGGTAGGTTAAAGTGCATGTAAAGTGCTTAGAACACTGCCTGGCTATATAAGCGTTGTGACTATTTAATTCTTACATACTATGCCTTCAAATCCTTTGGTAGAATTTGGATTAACAAATTGATTAATATATCACATCCCTACAATGAATTAATATTCATCTGTTAAAGATTATTTTAATTCTCTATTATGAAAATATATTCATTTATAATATTCTGTTGGGTAGGGAGGAAAAAGTTAAAAAAATCATGTAGTCTAATCTTATATTTAGAAAAGATGCTAATGTAGTTATGAAAAGTTGCACACTGCTGTAATACTTTAAGTAGCATTTGCAAAAGTGACTCAGATAGTTTACCGTTCTTCCCCAATGGGAAAAAAAATATTTAAAATAGACTGATTCTAAAATACCACTGATGGGATAATCAAATACTTTTAAGTTGGAGCTTTTAAAAATTTAGAACTGTGTACATTTATTGTATTATTCTTCCTCCACCCCTGAAAGCAGATGCTTCTTAAAATGGACTGCATCTTAGAAGAGCATTCATATTTAATAGATATGCTAACTCCAATCCCACCCTCTGACAACACACCACCACCACTTTTAAGCAAGCTCTTGAAGTGATCACAACCAACTACACATATCAACAGACAATACATCACCTTAATCACTCAATATTAAGCCGCAGATATTAGGTACAATAAATTGGGATTATAAACATAAGTCAGTATTTCTAGAACAGTGAATAAGAGTTGTAATATTGAGAAGACTCAGATTAGGTAGCTTGTGGTACCCTTAAAATGGTTTTAAAAGTTTTCAATGAAATCAATACTATTAATTTCATGTTTATTTTATAATAGGATTTTTGGCAAGCTTTTCCATTTTCAGTTAAAAACAAATTTTCTTCTCAACTAATGATTTTCATTCTACCTAATTCAGCTTAAATTGTCTATTATAGCCATATTTCATTTCATGGAATCTGAAATCTATTAATTATATATTATAGGCAACATGTCTTCAAATTTGCTTTCAAATGATGCCTACAAGGAGTAGATCAAATTTTCAAGTTTACATAATACCATACCACACTAATTTACCAATGTCTTATTCCATTCTATTTAAACAGCAGCACTAACAAAATTCTTAATACATATGCCCCACCACCTATACTATTTCCCTATGCTGCCTACTTACAAAAGAACATCTCAATTCAGCAATCAAGTTTTACAACAACTATCCTACCAAACAAATAGTGATGCACCAAGATCACAATTCTCAAGAGTTATAACATGTTAAGAGTACATGATTTACCTAAGACTGAGGGACTGTGCCTTACTTTATAAAACACAGAGATAGCCACATTGATTTAATTTCATATATGATGCTACCTATTCAATTTATTAAAATTCGTAATAAACATAAACTAGTGCTCCAAACTTATACTGTTCACGTGAAAGACACTATAGAAGACACAATAGAGACTGGCTTGCAATAAGAATTACAAATTCCTTCTACAGAGATGGAGAAATAAAAGGACAAATCTAGTTGTCTAAAAGACAATTCACTGTACACATTTTATTTACAGTTTTGTACACTGTCTTTATATGAATGGGACCACTTTTCTACTGGAGCCATTTTTTAACCAAAGCAAAAAAACCTAATACAAAGTGTTAAAATACAGCATAAAGATACAAAAACAGATATACTAATTCTAATTAGGAA